AGTAGTGGGGTTGGGGGGGCAGAAGAGATACTCGCTTTTCTGTCAGTAAATTTTTTGAAATCCATGCACAGCACATGATACTCATAGCACTACATTTCTACCCAGAAACACAGAATGCTGAGCTTACCAGCAACTGCAGTTGCTGTACCAGTACTGTCTTTCCTAAAGGTAATAATATTACTATTCTCAAAGACCTATTGAGAAATTAGTGCAATGCTATATGTAAACATGAACACACATGTCTCCGTATTGGGACGACTCTAAAATCTCACCTTGAATAGGCTTAACTGGTGTGGAACTAATCTCCTACGCAGGGCAAGGATCCCCTCCTCACCGCTGTTGAATTACCAACCCATGTTAGTTATGAAAGGCAGCGCTGCTCAAACTGCAGAGCCCTCTTCTGCAGTACTAGGGTGGTACTACCTTAAATTGGATGCACAGACCTGCACTGGCTTAACATCAGCTGTATACAGGTGTGGAGGACTACTTTAAATGCAAGACTCTACTTACTAAATAATCCAGCTTGCCCTCTTCACTCCTCCAGCACTCTTTATTTTACCTACACACCAGCAGTTTTCATTTCCATCAAAGTACAAACAGAGAACACCTTCAAGCCTTGAAAAGCTGCTTCCTATAAGCTTTTCCCTGCCTTTGCTGTCAAGGAACACCAGTCTCCCTCATTAACAGCAACTTTTTTGAGACCTGTCAGAAAGCTAGTCCTTAATCCATCTAAGGCAGACCACACTGATACAGAAGGGGGTTATTTTTAAACAACAGTGTCCTGCCATATTAAGTCAACCTCCTGATGACATTTGAGTATGATTCAGCTCAACAAATTCATCATGTCATAGAAAAAGCAGGAATGGTCTTTGATAGAACTATCTTTGATGTGGCTACTTGTATGTCAGTGATTACTTTTCTTTAACTGAGCTACTGGTTCTCTGAGCTGGGCACTTGTAAGCAGTGACAACCATTATTATTGGTTTCATCTGCTAAGGAATTGATATAGTACCTCTCCATTTGAATCTCTAGGCTGGACATCTCTTGAACCTGGAAACCTTCTCCCAACTCCTGTGCTGGTCGTTGCTTTAGTTGATGGTTTCTCCTCAGTGCTGTCCCTCAATAATTGTCTGTAATTCACCTCATGTATAGGTAGTGCATGTTCACTGCATCATATACCAATACAGACACAACAATCCCACTTCTCAGCTTTATAACTGTTAGATAAGCGATGGAAAATATTTATGTTTCATAAATGCTTGTCTGTGTTTAGATCACTATCTCTGCAGTAATAAAGAACGGGTCATATAATAAATTGTGGAGCCCTGTAGTTTATTTACCTCAAATGAGACAAATTAGCTCACCTGTCCCCATCAAGCCTGTTTCCTCTAGGACTATTTGCATTCCAAACTTCTAAGCAACTCACAGCAGGCATATTTTCTAAAGCCAAAAATTGTTTCCTTTTTCACCCAAATTTTTACCCATCAATCCACTTCAGGAAAAGAACAGATGCAAACACTTAAGTGTTCTATACAGGAACAGGCTCAGAGAGAAAAGGGTTTCAGATTTCCTCTTTTAACCTCTCCCTTGTCTCCTGATGGCATCTTCACAGAGCATTAGGAGTGGGCCCTACTTGCTTCCACTGCTGGTAGAGCAGCAAATGGATGCTGTGGTGATTTAGGGTTGGGCCCAAGCAGATGTTAAGAGCAGTGTCTCATGACACAAAAATTCACCCATATCTGTAGCATGCATGATACCCAAGTGGGGAGATGTGATGAGGTCTCTGTTCAAGGAAGGGTCAGAAAACCAACTGCTCCTGGTCATCATAGGATCTCTCCAGGACAGAGAGTTTATATTTTCCTCTCAAGCAGAGAGAACTGGTTTCTGCTTTTCAGTAGTTGTCTCACATCTCCTCACTTCTCAAACCAGATTTGCACAATGCTTTGTCTTGCTACGGTCAGTGTGTGAATTACAGGGTCTTCAGAAAGATCTGAAAATCACAGCTTAAGCATGTCAATAGCAATAAAATCATATACACTTGAAGCTTCTCTGTTTTTAAAATCACATATTCTATTTTTTTAAAACTATGTTGGTATTTATTGCCCTGATAAACCATAGCATCCAAGTACTGCTTAATGTTGCAAGCATCCCTAACAACTCTCTAGCACAAGGGCAAAGTCCATTATTCAGATTTTACAGACAGAAGATGAATGCACAGAGAGGCTCGCTGTGCACTTGCAGAGTACTTGCTACAGACAAAACAAGTGGCTAACTCACGTTCACTGAGGTTTATATTAATGTCCTAATAGTAAACTCCTTCTTTTCCTCTTCCCTTGACACTTGCCTCTGTGCCAGAGAGGCATGTATTAAAACTGTGATAAGTCAGAGTAACAAAATCAAGTACAAAATCAAACTCTTCAAAAGCGGTCAGCTTTCTGGTATAAAAATTCTTATTTCCATGTTTGGATTTGTTTTGCTTAAATATTCAGTTGATGCATACTTAAAATTTACTTTGTACATCTTCCTTGCAATTTCATTTGCCATGGTGATTATGGAAGACAACATACAGGCAACAGAGTGTAGACAACCCAGTGGTAAGTCTATTTCTTTGTATAAGTCTAGTATGCAACCAGAGCGATCAAAGAATGCTGGAGTAAGCTTCTGCTCATCTCAGTGAGATATTGCATCTCGTTAAAATAGAGGAAACACCTAGTTCAACTGAAATGCCATGTCTTTCTTCTTCTGAGAAAGGCCATATAGCATTTGAGGACTGACCTTAGTTTAGCTGACTGGTGGCAGAAGAGAAATGCCTAACTTGTGTCACGTCACTCATTCTGATGGAGCAAAGCTTATACTAGAAATAAACTTCTCTGCATTTTAACAAACATGTGCAGCAGCCCAAGCACAGGAGAAAAGCTACCCAACAAGCTTATATGGAAAACCTGTTGCTGTGCAGAGTGGTAGGCAAACAAGTCAGTTCATGAACCCATATTAAAGCTTAAAATAAGGCTGAATATTTTTGATGCTGAAGCAAAATTATTTCAATCTAATTAACTGCACACATTGCTACACTGTGTTTTATTTATTGCCAGAAATAGAAACCAAAAGGAAATATATATAGAAAATGAAGATCCAGATTCTCAAGGTCTTCTCTCATACCAGCATATATTTACTGTAAAAGCTGCAATACACCACGTGATAATTCTAAATCCACAATGGCCTCATTGGTGTGAAATGTAAAACACTAAGAAGCAGAGCACTTTATCTATTTTGGCGAAAGGTTTAAGGACACCATGTGGAAATGGGTGTGGCTTGGTGTTCTGTTATATAGCACTCAAAAGAAACAACAATAATGTAAAGCTTTTTTTTTTTTTTTTAATGATGTGGAGACAGAAGTTTTTGAGAGCTATGCACAGCAGCAATGCATGGAGCAGCACTGCAATACAGTTCGACCATAAAGGGGTTCCAAATCCCAGGTAGTGGTGAGGCTTGCCTCTGGGGGAACGTTCCTGGGGGTTCCATTTGGAGATATATCAGTGCCTATTCTGACAGAAAACTGTGACCCATCTTAAAAATATGCATCTACTTTTCTTCTGCCTGAAAATTAAATGGTTGTAGCTTCCCCCCTGCCAATATGAAATAATACCATTTACTCTTTCACAGGAAGTATTTTAGAGAGAAAAAAACCCCACAAACTATTAGTTTTAAATCTGGTTATTTTAAATCTCCTGGAACTATTAGCAGAATAGTAGACATCAAGCAAATAGCCTGGAACAGCAGCAGCAGCAGCAACAGCAGCAGCAGCAACAGCAGCAGGAGTAGCAGCAGCCATTCCTCTTGCACTACAAAGGAAATCTGTAACCTGTGCTAGCTATAGAAAAATGTTGCATCTGTTGATCAGTGGGGGAACCCAGGAAGGGAATGTAAAACCCATGCAGGCTCTGCCATCTTCAGTTTCCCTTCAGACCTCCAGGTGTGCAGTCCCCGGCACCGACCGTGCCACCCGTCTGGGACTCGCACAGCTGCATCAATATCTCTGCCATGGGGAAGAAGAAGAGCTGGGTGTCACTCTAACAAGGGCAGGCTGTATGGGGCTGTCAGACTGGCATCGCCCACAGAAACACAGGCCTTTTGACATGGTGCCTGTGATATGCTAGAAGATGAGCTGGCAATTTCTGCGGGCCAGGATGATGGTAGATTCTGAACCCCCAGGCCCAATCCTCACGAGGTATCAGTGCCCACATTTCTCAGAGGTCTGCACCACCTGAGCTCATGGCGCACTCCAAATTACTGTACTAAATCTGAAAACAAAAGTTAAAACTAAAATGCGGCTAAATCCTGCCTAGATTTTGTCCCTGGCAAGATGCAACTCAGAAGAGAATTTGTCTGAAGGCACGTGCTCAGCTAGGGCGCTGAGGTGACAGTTTAACTAGCAGATCAAATAATTGCACAATTTTGATAAATTAAAAATATCACAATTATTTTCTTCAATAAAAGCCACCCTTCAGCAGATCCTTTTGCTTAACTTCTTAATCAGCTCAGCAAAAGCTCACACTGTGAGAAAATTTTCAGGCAGAGTACTGATTTTCTCCCGCAATCTCCCTTCCTCCCCATTTACTCCTCCTTTTCTTCTCCATCATCAATCTTTTAAGCATGCCACTGTGCATTCACATTTTTCTTTCTGCACGTGTCAGCTCAACGCTGCTCCTCAGAGCCCTCTTTCTCCGCCAAATCCCGCAAAGCAGACGTTAACCACTCATTTACCGAACAGAGAACTCCACGCACAACTTCTCAAAAGCCAGGCTCTCCGGGTGCTTCCCAGCCACTGCGCTGGAATACCGCCTTCCCTCCGCAACCCACGGCTATGGACAAAAGAGCAAGTAAAATGAAACTGACTTACTGCTATGGCTTGGAGCCTTTCCTTGTGCAACTCTGCTTCCGCCATCCTGGAGAGAAGGACACGGGAGGAGAGAGAGAGGGCGACGGGTAAGGGAAAAAACCAGAAGAAACGAAAAGGCAAGCAAAACCCAAACGGAGCACACACTGCAGTCACCGGGTGGGAACTGGAGTAATTGCAGAGAAAGCCGAGCTCCTGTGTAGCAGTCAGACACTTTTGGAGGCACTGCAGCCTGGCTCACGGTAAGATCATTTTAGTCACTGGACCAGTGCCTGCCTCGCTGCCTGTCTCCCAGCTGTATTGCTAAGTGCATTTCATCGCTGCTTCTGTGTGCTGGTGCTGTCACACAAACCATGTATGCACTCTCCAAGCAGCTGAGCAGAGGGATAGCTCGCATGGCTATAATTTTTTGCGTTGACGTCTCAGCTCATTTGCTCCTCCTATGGGGTGCTGGGTCACGACAGGAGCTCGACATCAGTAGCGTGCACAGTAATCCAAACCTGCCTGACTGCAGCAGAGGAGGCAGACAGCTGTGCCACAGCATGTCCTCAGCGAGCAGCACAGCGGGGAGGGAAGGACGGTGGCACATGGCGCAGTGAGAGGGAGCTGCGGCAGCCAGGCAGGCGGGCAGGCAGGCAGGCAGGCGGGCGGGCGGGCGGGCGGGCAGGCAGGCAGGCAGTGGCTGCAGCCCCAGGCTAAAGCAGGTTTGGCGAAGGGAAAGGACAGGGTGGCAGCAGGAGGGAGAGCATGGACGCTGGGGGAACCGCACAGCCGCCTGTGAATGCAGCGGTAACATGGCACTCGGCAAAAGACTTCTGCTCCTGGGCAGCCCTTAAGAGAAGCAACGGAGAGCATGTGTGTGGAAAGGAAGAGGTAAGGTGTCCACACACCCTGCATTGAACGTGCCTTGCAGGTTAAAGCACTGCATTGACATCAGATATTCAGAAGTCACAAAGCTGTGTATGCAAACAACCTGACTGAAGACCCCGGTGTTACACACAGAGGAGGAGGCAGGTGAGGAAGGGAGGTCATGTTTGAGCCAGTATCATGGTAGTAACACTTGATTTCAGGGGTGGCTTTGGTTTTGCATATAACCTCCTCACATTTTTATTTTTATTTCTATGATCTTCCATCTGCTTTCTTTTCTTCTAAACAGCAAAGAAGGCCCCCACTCTCTCCCAGTCCAGTCCTACAGGGTGCTGCTGCACAGATGAGACGGGAGGGGTGCCTCTGAGCCAGGGCAGCCACTCCGACGGATGGAGGGCTGCGTGAGGGCTAACTGTGGCATCCTGGGGTTGTCCTGCCATGAGGAGCAGAAGTGCATTTTGCAGCACATAATTTTGATGTAACAACGTCATGCTGATAAAGACAGGAGAACTCCATCCTTTTGGAGAAAAGCAGTCTGGAAGTCACTCGGCTTCCCGTGTGCCTGCCCTTTCAAGTGCTACCCATCCTGGCATTTTACCTTTACACATCACAGTATCCTCTCCCAGACATCCTCCACCTCCATCCCACTTCCAGCTCCAGGCTGCTTTTCAGCACTGTTTTTTCAAGTGTTTTCACCTCCTGGTCCCGTTTCCCTTACTGGTGCACAGCCTCCTTGTCTTGTGACAGGATGTCAGAGTGACTTCTTGCTTAGCTCTACCTCTGTGAAAAAAGTCCTTTGTTGTACAGAAAACTCAGAGAACATTATATAATTCCACTAGTCTCTGTGGCCAAAAGGCAAGGTTTTATTGCCATATCCCAAGTGAGGCAGTGTCTTTAAGTGGGTATTGGGCTCACAGCTAAGCGAAATGCAGAAACTGCAGCAAGATACTGGGACACTCTTTCAGTCTTCCAACTTTAAGTAATTTGTTGAACAGCATTTGTCTTGTAGTTTATTTAGTCCCTGTCAGCTTGTTGTTTTTCTTCAAAACGTCTTTTTTTTTTTTCTATTTTCCACTACCATTTTAAAGGTCCATGCATTGCTACTTGTATTACTACAGCTGGTTTTGAAATATCCCATCACACGGGATCCAGACATCTATACTCCCACATGTGCTCTGAGAACATATATGGGCAACTCCTACTAAGGCTTGATAGCTATGCAATTAAATCCCTTCAATACCCTTCTCATGTTTTGCTGCTAAGCCTTGCCCAGGGGAGGAATTCTGCTACAGTCTATATCCAGCAAAGACAAGGGTTATGCCCCAGTGCTTACTGGAGCTGGAATGGGCAGCATATTCACTCCGCGACCTGTAGTCACATTACATGCTGCCAAAGTGGTGTGTGATATGCATCACATTAGGCCATCCCCTCTTTCCCTCCATATGCCATCCACTCAGGAAAGCATTTAAACGTATATTTGAGCAATGTAGTCATATATAAAAATGGATGTGAGCATCTCAATTATGATACAAAACCTTGCAACAGTTCGTGAAGAACAGTAACAGCAGCTGAGCTGGACATGTTTATCCTCTCTCCAGTTTAACTGCAGTGCTTGTTGCCAGAATGGATAAGCAGGCTGCATCCTAGTGAATGCTGCAGCGTTCCTGGTCCCAGTGAAACATGCTGCGGGGCTGTGCATCCACCCTTCCAGCTTGGTTTTCCAGGGAAACATGAATCAGCTGTGCTGTAGCAGTCCACTCTGCTGGCTCTTTATGACTGTACAGGAATGATAGAGGGGCATCAGCAGCAGAGTACTTTCTTGCTGTTGACTAGCAACGAGGAAAGGCTGAAAGTCAGACAATACTAATAGCCTCTGGTTTCCCTATAGTGTCTTTCTCTCCTATGGCTTGAAGCCTGAGATTCAGTGAAGTGGAAATTCTTTACCCAGGTGGTTCACAGAGCACACCCAGGTGAAATGACCTCTATGAGGTGACTCACTACACCATGAAAAAGACCATAGGGGACAACCCCTATGGACATTTAGTTAGTGAAGGCAACTTTAAATGAAACAAAACAAAACAACCAGTCCATTTTTACACATTTTTTCATCCATCTTGGTTAAGATTTTTGTTTCCAGTATGTTTTGCTGTGTTGTTAAGGAACTTTAATTTTAAAAAATGAGAAATTAAGGTCTATACGTTTTTTTAATTTGTTTTGTTTTAATTTTAGGGCAGAAGAGCAGGGTGATATTTCCAAATCTTGAGGATACTGGGAAAACAAGAGAGGATGGAGTGTGTAGGAAAGAACAGGAAGATTCTAGAAGAGTAGGTAAGAGAAAAGTATTTTAATATACTTTGTTCAGTAACTAAAAATTAAGAAGATAGGAAAAATGTTCTCCATTATTTTTTCAAATATCATTTAAAAAGCTGTTAATAATGTGTGAATTCCATCCCTTTTTTTCCATGCAAAACAGATTTTTATTTTCATTTATTTGGAAAAGAGTGTAAGAAACAATCTGTAGCCCCTGTTCAATTCTGGAGAAGATCCTGAAAGCACTCTAAGATATGTGTAGCCCGAACTTTAAATGAGACAGCTTAGTTATAAGGTAGAAATCAGGTTCTTGTCCTTGCCATGGAGCTGAGCTGGATTAGGAAAGGTTTGATTTAAATCACCTGTGTTTGTTTTTTGACAAGCCAACCAGGTTGTTTTTTTGTCATTGCCCTGCATACTATCAGAACCCTCCTGCTTGATGCCCGGCATCTTGTCCTTAGGAAGCCTTTGGCGTCCCATCCTGCCTGGCTGTTGGTAGAGCTAATTCAGTCTAAGAAACCAGACTTTGTCCTGAAGACTGCTTAAGGAAGGCACACATATACAAATGAAGGTCAGGATTGGCACCTCAGCCATAGCAAATACATCAACATATTCGTGTGGTGACAAGGTAGTGGTTGGATCCTGGCAGTGGCTGTCAGGAAAACACAGAGGAGGAGGGAAAATAGGGTCACATTTGCATTTCAGATTGTTTGAGAGGAGATACTTCTGGCTCTTAAAATTACCACATGCCAACACTCTGGAGACATTGCTCTGGCATCCTCAGTATTGTCAAGCATTCCTGCCTAGGCCTATTGGAACCATACTATTTTCATGTGAGTTGAGATTCTGAGGTTTGATTAATGTACTCTTTATCTTCCTTAACAGATTCTGGCTATATTATAATAGGCCAGGAATTAAAAGTTCATCTAAACTTTTAGATTCCTGAGCTCATCACCCATGCTCATTTTTTGTACTCTCTCAAACACCATGCTTCATACAACATAGCCTTTGAAATTTTTGGCAGTGGCACCACCTGACATTTTCAGGAGAGACTTCTCCATTTGCAGTTTTAATTGCAGCTCTTAGCTTTATTGGACAAAAGTCTCTTCCTGTTCTCTCTCCTGTACCCAGGCTGCTTGCTGGGGAAGTACAGTGTCCACAACACCAGGGGTTGGGCTTGGGCCTCTTGGAAGCTCACAGTGTGAATTGCACCTCAGGGAACCCTATCCCAGTGAGACATCATCCCAGGACAGTTATCCTTATCCTGCCTGGACATGTTAACCCAGTAAGTGGTGGCTGCATGATGAGGAGTGTGTGTCCAAGCCCTTTACACACTGTGTTGCTGGTGGTGAGGGTGGCCAATCTATTGTCACTCATGCAGTGGTGAAGGTGAGAAGTGGCTGAACACCCAAACATGTGCCCTCACCCCTCCGCTGTGGGGTGGCGGATAACACCACCAGTACACTTTCTTCATTCTCCACTCACCCTTGCATGGGTTTTCATGGGCACAGTCCCCAGGCAGTCTGGGTTGGTGGGACAACCAGGCTGTGCAACAGGAGAAAGACAGACTGGAAAATCTGTCCTCTATCTCCCACAGCATTTCACACCTGGAGAATGCAGGTGGTGAAACCATAAACCATATGACCAAGTTGAACAGGAGGGCATTGGCAATCTAGACCTCTGATATCAGTTCTATAAGTGTATAAGATCATGGTTTCTTTATAGAAAAAAACCTTTCACATCAAATTTGGTGTAACTGAAGTTGTCTCTTCTCCCCTTTTTCTGTGTTTTTTTTATTTTGTTTTGTTTTGGTTTGTTTTTTCGTTTGCTCCTTGCTATCAAGACATGGAGTTGAAGCATGCACAGCAGGAGATGGCATTGTTTAAGAAATAAAAAGCTAGAGCATAGGGCTTTGTTGTAAACCTTCCCAAGACAGCAGGCTTATGAATAGGTAAGCCATAATTTATTAATTAGAAGTGCGGTCTATTACGTTTTTCCATGTTTGCTTGGTTTCATTCTACAGCCATGGGGCAGTTGCACTGAGAAGTCCTCTGACTAGAGGGGTCTCCACACAGTCATGACAGCTGCAGGACACCTCCTCTGAACAGACCACAGATACTGTGTATGGTACGGGCCCTCCGGAGACTCTACAGACGAGAAATCTCCAGGCCAAATGATGTCTGTTGTCCACAAACAGTTGCTTGTAGGTGATTCACCTGGGATGAGGGACAAGAAGCAATTGTTTTCCTGAGATCTGTTGTCCTGCCAGCCCCACTACCATGCTAAAACAGCCTCATGTTAGCCTGAGAGTTATTCAGCTTGCAGTAACTTGTCAGTTAGTAATGTTCTTGGCAGTAACTAATGAAACAAGCCACCCTTGGCTAATGAAACAGAGCACCCCCTGCCAAAGCCTCCAGTAAAGCTGGAGATGCTTTTTGCAGTGACTTACCTTGAAGCAGGGACGAAGAAATTATGTAGGCACTTCACATTTCTGCCAGGCTAGTCTCCTGGTAGTCGGGCTTATTTGAAGCTTTCCAGGTGAAGAAAGCAGCCTGTCTCCTCTTGGAATTTCAGTGTTGGCTGCTTGCTCCACCGCTCGCTTATCCAGCTACAGGAGACTAGCCTGGCTCCCGGGGAGCAGAGTGGGATTGGATGACCTGCAGAGGAGAAGTGTAAGTGTAAGTGTACCTTCCCCAAATTCCTCTAGTCTCTCTGAAATTACACAAAAAGAAAATCCTGGCTTGTCCTTACCTTCCTCTTTCTCTTCTCCGTGCCCCCCTTGACACTCAAGATCCACCTGGGGCAGAAAGGGGTGATGAGAGGAAGTAATACTCCCCAGTGCTATACTGCAGGACAGGGATACAACTGCAAATAGAACGACTCTTCACTAAAAAGGGAATTTTTGTTGAATTTAAATTCTATCAATGTAATGATGCCACCAAAATAGGTCTCTGTCTTTCTTAGCTGTGCATCTCTCTATAGCTGTTAATGAGCAGAGGATCATGTGCACCCAAGGACTTGTGCTATTTACCCCATCTGAAACATTGTGTGGCATTGAGTTTCATTGTTCCTGACAACTTGAATGCTGATACAGAAGAGACTCTTGCCTCTTCAGCCCCTCAAAACTGGCTTGGCTATTCATTCTGCCAAAAAAAAGAGAGAGGAAAAAGTGTACATTTTTTCATTTTGGATTTAAAAAGTAGAGCTTTGTTCTTGTATGTTCTGGCATTTCCCTCTCCTTTTTTTTTTTTTTTTCAAACAACACAGATTGCATCAGGAAAGTTGCTTTTAGCAGTATTTATTTCTGTTCTTGTGCCTACTGATCATTCTCCACATATATTACATAGCTGAAATGATATTCCCTTAAAAACCACAAAAATATTTACTGCTGAGATTGGGCTAGTACACTGGATTTTGCTTCAGAAGTGAGATAGTAAAGAAAATAAATAAGTTGTCTGCAGCCCAACCGAAAAAAGCTATTAGAAAGGTGAATATAAACTACTGTTCCAGAACATAGCTGAGGCCAGAATCTGAATGTTTCTTTTTTACTACTGCTGTGATCACTGAGTAACCTTTGTTTTTGTTCCCCCATATATGATCAAAAGATAACTTAATACCTGTTGTTTAAACATCCTTGCAGCATCAGATCCTTTAGACCATTCTGAGTTTGATCTCCTCTCCTCAGGGTCCTCAAAGAGAGACTGTGGGATTGGCATTGGAGTTGCAATGCCAAAAAAATAATGAGGAATCCACTCCAGTGTACAAAGGCAGTTTTTGTTAATGACAAGCTTTCAGCTAAGGTTAAATAGCCAAGAAATTTATGATAACATTACCTTCCTCCTTAGCGGAGGGGCTGCCCAGAGGTGTGTTCAGCTTGTCTGCATCAAGGCTGTAATGTAATGATGGGCATTTAAATCAGCTCACCTCAACTCCAGCACATTATAGAAATGAAAGAAAATTTTTACTTCACCTCTGTGATAAAGAGGAGTTAAATCCATCCATTCAAATAAGGAGTCTTACAGTAATTTGAAAGACCGAATCAGATCAGTCAGGTCCACTTATCACAGTCCTTCTTCTGAAATCCTCCAGAGGCCTGTCATGTATCCTAGTCAGTGGTGCCAGCCAACAAGTTACATCTTTTTAGACAATATAGAATTTAAGGTCCTCTGACCTGACAAAAACTTTGGCACAGAAATCATCTCCTGGCCTTTCGGCCTCCGCTTCAGATAATGGCAGTCACATATAAGAGACAAAAATAACTTGCTACTTTCTGGACACATACTGAAAGTTTAATATGAATTTTGGATCAGTCTATGTTATGTCCAAATTGGCATATCCAACCTCCCTTGTTATCTAAGGAATTCATTAAGCTTTTCACAGCCTGAGGCAGCCAACAAAGTGCCAAGACTTTGCCTCGAACCAGCGTAACACGGGTATGTGTTATGTAAAGACACTGCATTGCATATGTGCAAGTGATTTCTTCCAAGGATCTTAATGCTGTTTGTTTTCTGTGGTCACACTTCCAGTGTTCAAATCACAGGCACACAAACAGATTGTGATGTCCCTTTCATGGGAAAGGTATCCCCACTAGTTCCTTGCTCAGGGTCTCTGCAAAAGACTAGTACTACAAACAGCAGATGGTGAAAAAAGCTTCATCAGAATTCCTGAGGAAAATGCAAGTTCCACTGACTTCCTGCTCATGTCCCTCTAATGGTATTATTTTATACTTTAACATTTTAAGGTACAAATTGGAGAACTGTTTTACATTGTATTGCATACAACATACAAGCCTCATTCCATGATATTACCATTAAACTGGAATCTGTAGTGTGCAGCTAATTAGGAAATCATCTTTATGTCTTGCCCCTCTGATGTACAAAAGCCTTGTTTGGTTCAGAAGAGACAGTATTCATTAAACCTAGTAGTCGGCAGTTCCTAGGATGAAATTTAATGCTGATTTACAAAGCAGTCTTAATGATTGACGTTGTCTTCTACTGATTCTAGTGGCAAACTATTCT